AATTCAGGGTGAAAGAGCCAAGGATTTTGTCCATCTTCAAAGCTGATCTGATGAATGTCGTTTCATTTATCGCTTCCTGTTTGAGCACAGTCGCAGTCTATGGTAGGTCACTATAGATGTTTATCAGCCTGTTTCTCTCTCCAAAGAACCATTATATCAAAGAGGAGCTCTTTACAAAGACAAACAAACTATTTCACTGATAAGATAACACTTTGTTTCGACTTGTTTCAAATATTCTGGATGAAAGGCCTTTTAAAGTACTCGTCCCGCACATGTGCCTGTGAGTATGGGGAGTTTTGACATTCTGCCTGGAAGACTGTCTTCACATGCTCCATCATAAATGAGAGGAAAACCTTCTGCTTTGGCTCGATGGAGTGCGAAGGAACGCCCATTAGACCAAGAATTCAGATCATACCTAAATATGTAGGTCTGAATCAAGGCAAGAAAAGACATGAGAGAAAACCAGGATGAGGGTATGCTGCTGTCTCATGTAGCAGTTTAGCAGCCGTACATATGATGTCACTCCAAACATTGAAGTAAATGACGTCATACATACGACCACCAGGCCACCACCAGTATCAACAGATGAGCTGGATGATGACAGGAAATAGGAACGAAAAAGACAAACACAAACACACACCTACATATATAGGGAGCAAATACATCAGACACATATTCTCGATAAAACCCTAAAACTTTAATGTTGAAACATGCTTAAAAAAAATATCTAAAGTAAAGGCTCAAAGACACCGACGTCACGTGACCCAGTTGAGAGCGGTGATAAATTAATCAACCTCAGCTCAGAACATCATAAAAATTCAAATCAGCGTTGACATTTATCAAGGCCGTCATCAGTCTGCAGCAGCGACAGCAGACGCGGAGTTCATCCACAGGGTCTTTTATTGGGATTCGTTGCGTTAAAACGCCACCGTGCCGTACTTGTCAGAGGACAAAGCAGGGTACCGAACGTACCAGCTCCTGATGAAGAGCTGCAGTACTTATCACATTAGTCAATGATAAAAATCAATTAGACACAGCACAGATGAAATTACTCTGAACACCAGAAGGCTCCAGAAATATGAATCACTGCATCGAGGTCAGATCAGATGAAATGAAACAGAAATACTGTTTTGGATTTCTTGGCTAAAAATCTCTCCTTTCACCTCTGAACGCACATTTGAATTTCATATAAATTTCCTGTCGTTAACATGGATAATCCGACACTGTAGTTGAGCAGATAAAAGTCAAATCTAAATTTATCTTTATCCTCTCATCTAATTAAAGTACAGAACATTCATTGACACTTGGCGCTGGATTTGGACACGATTAACAGCATTAAAAAAAAAACCATTCCTCTGCAGAGGTTAACATGTGAAAACGATCCACTTTAATTCCCAGTTGTTTTAATGTTGACTGAATTAACCAACATATTTATGAACATCATCTGCATACAGGCGTAGGTTGTTTATAGTCCTAAAGTGTCAGAAATGTAATTAATTTGAAACCTAGAGTTGGTCGTCAGGCTTTTTCAGATAAAAGGAAATCATTAGAGCAGAACATATCACACACCTACAGCAGTTAATTAGAATCATGGAAGATCTGTGGATCGTGTGATTTGTCATGCACGTGCAGTAGTGGATAAAAGGAGAGAGGAGGCTTCAGCAAAGGTTTACCTGGAAGGATCCTTCGAGCAAGCTTAGCAGCAGGAGAACCCACAGGGTCCGTGAGGAGACCGCTGACCTCATGTCTTTTTTTCTCACTGATTTCCTGCAGCAAAGAGAACATCCAGTTAAAAGTCACTTTAACAAGTTTTCTGCAGGGAGGAAATAGACCTGACAAACATTTTGCGTGGCTGTGTATCATCACGACTATAAACTCTCTGCAGACAGCGACAGAAATCACAAATTTGAAATTCAAAACACTGCAGCAGAGGAGCTGCAGTTTGTGACACCGATCCGTACTAACATGTGAGGCGGCGGCTGGGAAGTTAGAGCGTTGGACTTTTTTGGGGGAAAAAAGGAGCGCAGAAAAGAGCAATCAAAGACGGAGACACAGTCAGACATAAATAGTTGAAGGTTATTAATGATCCTGTGCTGAGCCTCCCCTCCTGCAGGACGGCAGCGGTACAGCTGCCAGTTTAGCAGCCTAGTGCATGAGATTAGAATTCACTTCAGGTCTCTTTGCTTTGGCACGCTGAGTCCCTGTTGGAAGCCCATCACTCAGCAGTTTCACCAGTTCGAACGGCCTGCTGCTTATTTTCCACATCCCACAGAGGCCCAGAGGGGAAGGTTTCTCAGCAGACAAACGGACAGACACGAGCAACCAGGAATCTTTGGAATATATTAGTGTAAGAATACTACGTTATCAGCATAAAAAAAAACTTAATTTGCCAACAATTAGAGACGACACTGATCATCTCTGATACCCCAACAATGGGGCAAATCCAATTTCAGAATTAGATCCAGTGAATTAATGAATTTTGTTCTGATTTTTTAGCCACAGTTGCCATATGAATAATTTCTACTCCTAACAGCTCTGTCATTTACAGTCTCAGTTGATTCCTGTTCTGGCTACAGACTACGTTTTCACACCCTTTGTTGCCAAAATCCATAGTTTCACCATGTTTAATATGTGGAGATCTAATGGACTGATTATTTCTCCCGTCCAGGCAGTAGATCAGACACAGCAGGAGCCTTCAGTTTTCATTAGATCACAACACTTTAGCTCAATGGTGAGCTAATCTAAGACCTAACATGGTTTCTGATGCGGAGATTGAATCCAGATGCTTCAGTTAGAGGCAGAAAAAACATTTGAGACACTAAAATAGCTCAAAAAAATATTTATATATGCTTTTATAATTATTTTCTTTCGCCACGCCTGAAACCTCAGTTCAACCTCAGTGCTTATCTGTATTTCTGCTCAGGTGTTTTGACTCCTGCTCTGAACTTCCCTAATATCAGTATAATACCAGAATTTAAGGTTAAGTCCAGTGGACCAAGTCTGCCGAGGCTAACACGTAGCAGCAAACCTTCATTCTCCATGACCATGACTTCTGCTTAGAAATGAAGCAACACACAAAGAGTCAGAACGACTCCAGTCAGGCCTCACAAAAGACCAGGGGGACAAGTATTGACTCCAAAGGGAACGGTGGTAGAAGAAGAAGAATCTATGAAAACTATAGTCATGCCAAAGGCGATGATTCACACCGCTCAATTATCAGCTAATCACCTGTGGCCGTGCACGGGCACATGAATGCTTCTAAAAGGAGGGATATTGAGATACTGTCTGAAGGAGACGTGTTGCTACAACTCCAGCAACAATAGAGAGCTATTAGGACAACTGACACAACTGAGTCAGTGTCAGCCAAAGACGTCACAGAGGTGAGGCTAAGTGCCTGTTCACTTATTGACACCAGAGACCCAGTGTTCTCACCGGGAAGGACGGCAGCAGCTAATCAGGTGTCAACAGAGGGTTCTGTGTGTGGGCATATGCTGCGTCATGCTGATTGGTTGATATTTGACTTTTAAATCATCATATTGGAAGTGTCTGAAGACGTTCCAGATTAATCCGACTGTGACTGAAAGAAGACAGTGATGCTATCAACAAAGTAGAGCTAAACCAGTGCTCAACCTCTCTGCCTTCACTTGAATTTTTTTTTACTGTAAATGAATAAAATTACTGTATTTCTGGACTATAAGTCACACCAGAGTATAAGTCTAAACAGTGCCCTCTAGTCAGTCTGAAAATAACAAACGTGAAATTTTATATTTTAATATATATATCGCAAACTCAGTAAAAGGATGGAAAAAATGTGCAATTTATAATCGGTAAATATGGTAATCTAAATGTTGTCTCTGTAGGTGGCAGAAGTTGGCTTTAAAAAATAAAAAAAAAATTCATTTCTAAGTTAAATTTACCTCCACTACAGCATTACACATGCACGGCATATGTCTAGCTGTGGGTCGATAGGTCCACTCTGGGACATAAATATGACAGTGTGCAGTCGGCGCTGTTCAGAGACAAGACCCCTGCAGAGAGGACAAAGGAAAGCACTTAACCAGGATGGAAAAATATACTGTACAGACTGCTGTATATAATTATTAACCCAGATGCGCTCCAGGAATTCTGTTAAGCATTAATGCCACCAGAGACTACATGAAAGCGCAGCCACTCGGAGTAGAAGGCAGTATCTCTTAGAAGTTAGTTATGGAGAAATAATCGTACGCAGTTTTACATCCATGCATATTTAACTGTGTGAATGATTTAACTGTTTAGTTGGAATAATAATTGTTTTATATCAGAAGACCGCTGGGTAGAACCAGTGGTCTGAGGAAGCTCTAATCCACAAATAAAATAATGACAAGCTATTAGTGGCTCTAATCCTTAAATCAGAATATAATCCTAATTACAGACTTATCGAGTTTTCTTTTTAATTATCTATCCTTTTGTTGCACATCTAAGCGGTTAGTTTCATTTTAAACATCTTTCCTTCCTCCCACGGTAGCTGAAGCGCTCGATCCATAAATGTGATGTTTGAAAATCAGATGACCTTTCTAATCCAGACTTGGCAAAGAAACCCAAGAGGACAGGGAAGTGTCCTTTCTGCCCTCTAGCTGGGGCGTGATGAGTATCTGGGGAACAAATTCTGCTTGAATAATAATATTTTTCTGCCCCAGTAATTAATTGTTTATGTTAGGACCCAACTGTCCGGCCTTGGGCTCTGTCTCATCTCAGTGGGCCGTCTTTCTTTATTGTTCTTTTCCTTTGTTTTTTTCGTCCAATCGCTCATCGCTCATCCTATATTGCGCTGTTTAGAGATCATTGCATTACAGCGACAGCAAAGGACGACGCAGGTTTTGTGCTGACATCACATTGCTGCTGAAAACATCCAGCGGCGTGATCTGCCTTTTCTGCAATTTCACCATTTCAAACTCCATCAATCAGTCTGAAGGCAGACACGCTGTGGTGTCCTCTGTCTGGACTGGAACAAATGTGGTGGGCTACAATAAGAGCTGGGGGGCGAGGGTATTTTTGACAAATGGACGGCTTTGGGAAATTACCCATCACCATGTCATTCAAGTCCTGTCTAAGACCCAAATGCCAGGGCTCAGATACTTGGATTAAAACACCGCTCCATCTTCCATCCTAACACCTCAAATAAGGCAATATTTACACAACCCATTTATGGTGTAATGACTGGGCTCCTCAGCTCTAGTTAGAACTGTTTATTCACAGAAGAATGTGTTTCCATTCTCCCATAAATACACAGTATATACTGCGGGCTGCAGATGTAATTATTTACATTTTTTTTCCTGGACGTACTGTATAATTAAAATGGAATGCTGGAGAATAATAAAAAAGCATTACATTATACAGATTATTTTGTAAAGCCATTACATACATAATATAATGTTAGAGCTTAATGTGCATGACTGTCACAGTATGTATATTATTATTGTATGACGAACTGAACCCTGAAGAAAATGCAGCACTAATAAATTAAAAACAGATTGGTCCTGGTTGATCAGGGCAATTAATCAAACTAATTATATGTGAATCTCTTACCGCCATAAAGCAGCCACTGATCTGATACAGTAGCTACGATAGAAACTACCAGATTAATGCAAATAAATGACCTGGTTAATTAAAATTAAACTTCCAGATTAATTAAAATAAACTAGCTGGTTAATTATATTAAACTACATAACTGATTAATATAATTGATAAATTCAAATCTAACTCATTGTTTAATAATTTTTTTTAATACATTTTATCATATAATCCATCACCTACCTACAGAACCATGGAGAATGCATTCATGTAATACAGTGAATAAATTCTAAATTCTAAATCCCATATTTGGAACATTTGAATATACACTTTTACAGGCCAATGCACATGTTTTTGGTTGTTTGTTTTTCACTGAATTAAAATAAAATATATTTAGGAAAAAACATAAAGCTCGACTTGAACTGAGCCAAAGAAGAAGAAATGCTATGCTAAGCAAAACAAACTTTGCAAAATATGTTTTCTAAATTGCTTATAAGCAAAAAAATTAGTTGAAATTTGCAGAATTCAGGAGGTTTAGGAAACTGTAAATATATTCAATGGAGGAAACCAGAACCAAAGGCATTTGTCATCAAATTCCCACTGGCATCCACTTATCATGATGAATTCAGTGGCAGCGAGTATTTACAGTGAGGACAGACCTTTTCTCACTTTAACTAGACACACAAAAAATAAACGTTGAGCAATGACCTTGGTTGCTCAAAGTAAATTTCACTACAGATACTCAGGAGTCTTGACATTTAAACAAAGCTACGTAAAGTCTCTCTCCGCTGCTGTTGAATATGAAGAGGGCGAACGAGACGTTACTTCCCACGGTAACTTGTGAACCGCGTGGGGTCGTCTGAGCTGTGACCTACGGTCGATTAGACACATTTAGCCAAATAGTCAGATCACACTGAGTCAACATGAGCTCGGGTACTAACTCAAACCAAACTAAAAAGTGACTTAAAGCTTCCACCTTAAATACTGAGAACCGAATCTCAGCACGTTTGACTGAACATTGTTTTATCAGAGTCAATCCTGCACTGAAGTCTTTTCCTTCAACATCCAGCTTAAAAACACTAGTCTTTTCATTGAGGGAATAAGGAACGTAAGAAAAAGGAAAATCAAGTTCCCTCTGTTTCCCTTCTACACATTTGATTTCCGATCTTGCTAAAAAATCCACTCATTCCTCCGTTCTCATTTCCTTGGCTTTCTTGTTCTCTGCCGCTTTAATCTCTCTCCATTCTGACTACTTTGGCTGCCCTCTGACCTGCTCCCTAATATTTGACACTCTGGTCACCTCTTTCCCAAGGTGCATTTCCTCTGTGACTAAGATAGTTTTACAACACCGAGCTAATCTTTAGCAGAGTTTATAGCGTTTTTCTTGGACTGCTAACGCTTTAAAGCAAAGGTATTTATCTGAGGAGGTCAAAGACGAGGCTGCTACACATATTTAAAGCAACTCCTTAAAAAATATTTCCAACGACTAACGTCTGATAAGGCCACACGTTGAAGTACTACCCTGTCCTTGCAGAGTCCAGTCTAACTTACCCAGCAGCAGTTGTATCACCATTTACCATACGGGTTCAAGAACCTTCTAAAAACATTTCCTTGATGTGTCGCGCTGATACAGTTTCCACAACATGGTCAAGGTCAATGAAGCAACAAACAAATAATAAAAAAAAGCTGCATGTTCGTAGTAGAAGGATTCTCAAAGCATTAATTTCCATCTGACGCCTACACTCCAGGACATCTAACACACTTCCAGTCCTCGCTGAGAGTGAAATTGAAGGTGCAGTCAGGGCAGAGAGAAGGGCAGTAAACAGGAATATGAAAGAGAAACACACTGTAGAGAGAGGGACATAAAACTAAATGAAACCGTACACCTGCGACAACGCGGAGCTGTCACAAAACATGTATAAAATAGTACTCCTATTACAGCATTTATGCAGCCACCTAACGTCACACTATATTCCACCACTATTTTTCAAAGTTCTCACGGCTGCCAGTTGACGACAGACAGGTGAGTGTCCTAAATCCGTCACATCACACAATCACAGACCTCATAAGCGGCGTGATGAGCTAAAAGATTTAGCAACACTGTGTAGAGTCAGGGAGAGAACGAGAGAGAGGGGGAGGAGGGAGGGGGTGTGGACACAAATCAGGTCATGTTCTACAGTGCATACGAGATCACCAAAAGTGAATTCCCTCCATCATTCAATTACATGCTCCATATACTTTCCATATAATTTCCTGGAACAACCTGCAGCCATTATGCTCAGTTTTTTGGCAAACGTCTTCCATTCCTGACTCCCACACTCGCTTCCTCTCCCCTTCGTACGTCTGTCTGTGTGCCAAGGTTACAGTGATGGTGGTCTCGGCCTTTAACGTGCAGAATTAAGAAATGGTAGCCCACCATTGTTTAGGTGTTAATATTAGAGTTACAGCTACCCCAGATAAAAAAGCAAGACACAGCACTTTTTTCATCACAACCAGAACAAATCACTATGATAATAATAACCAGCCGATCTTCCACTCCACAGAACAACCTCTCATGTTATCAGATGATGAACAGCGTCATCCAGGCATCTGGTGTGATTAACAAAAGAACTACACTGGTGTGATTACTGCAGTCAGCTGATTTACATACAGGTGATTACTTCACACTAATATCACCAACTCCCCAGGGTCACTGCTGGGGAGTTTCACTTTCAGCGTGAACAGCATTGTGTGGCACTCTGGGGAAATGGAAGAAACACGGTTTTAAATGGCTGTAATGAATATTTTTTCTTTTCTTTTTTTTTTTTTTTGGTGTCATCACCACAGAGAATAATCACTTTCAGCGTGGCTGTCACTTTCATTATTGTACCTGTTTACATGATCCAGTTCTCCTGGAACTTGTCCTGTGAGAATCTAAGGTTAGAATATTTCATCACTATTCACAACAAAACTGCACCGAGAACTCATTCTCATAAATATTTATGATGTGAATTCAAAGTAGAATCCACATTTTTTAGACATTACATAACAGTATTTTCCACTTTCAAACACCACTCAGCCATGTGTGTGTGTGTGTGTGTGTGTGTGTCTCAGTTACCATGGATCTTTATGAAACACTGACTTTTTTGTTACCGTGGATCTTTATGAAACACTGACTTTTTTCTGTCACATAAGCACTTTCTGTCCTGATACAACTTGTCCCCCGTCTAGATTTATTTTTTTCCCAAATAGATAAAGTGCCACTTTTTAGTATCAGCCTCCAGGACGAAGTGTCAACCGTTATAGATGCCTATTGACATCTGCCACCCAAAGGAGGGCAGCAGGAGGAAAGTCCTTTTAATCCAGCATCCTTTCTATTTCCCCGGCATCGTCTTCATTTCCTCCTGACTCTCTGTTGAGCGTGCTGCTCATCCGTCAGACGACACTGACCTTAGTCTGTCTCATTTCCCAAAGCAAAGAGCACAGGACAGATGGCTAACACACAATGAGCTTTGCCAGGAGTGGAGAAAACCTGATTCAGTCTAAACATGTCCTACCTCAGAAGAACATTTCCCAAACACTGCACGGATTCTTCTCCGTTCTCAACCGGAACAAATGTGGTTAAATATTTAGTTCCTAACAGAGGCTGGTGAGCTGTCCACAAATGACTGCACACTTAAATTTATTATTGCATTTATTTATTGAATATGATTACAGGAAAATTCAGAATTACGTAGGATTAAACAATTTTTTTTATGCCCTAAAAGTCTTTGCATGTGAAAGAAATGTCTCTCTTAAAATAAAATAAAATAAATACGTTAAAAACCATAATGAGACGCCTGCATGTGTGTTATTTCATTTACATATCTCATGTTTTCTTTGAACTCTTTCAGTCAAGTTCACACCAATTCTTCACCGAGGTCCGAACTGGAAGAATTCAAGGAGGACTACAACGAGACGCCGCTGCTCTGATGTTCATCAAAGGATCTGAAGCTAAGCTACAACCTCAGACTGAAGAGAGGGGAACAGAGGTGAGTCACATGTTGGTTTTACACTTCTCTTTTAAAGTGACAGTAACTGGTACATGTTGCATGTCACTTGAACTAACATTGTGAGTGAAGTAAGAGAAAAGAGCAGTCTGACAGTCAGAGGATCTGGAACTTCTTTTTAGGGTTTTGGAGGTGGTGGGAGCTGTGGAGATGGGGGGGTGAAGGGAGGGCAGTCATCAGACAAGGACGCAGGGGGCAAGGCGTCCACCCTGGACATAGGTCCATCAGATGACACATACTGTATGGTATAAGTACTTCAATATAGATAAATAAATGTAGGTACAAATACCCTATCTGTTCGCTGCAGGGATCAAACCTTAATTTTATAGCTGTAAGGCACCAGCACCGACCCACCTTCCAGAGTGACACCGATGACATAGTATGGCACGACTATTAAATCTAAACTCACAAATTTCTATGTCCCAGGGGGTTCTGTAATCTTTCGCCCTAGTTCCTGTTGCAGGAATTACACACTCATGCTCCAGTGTTGCAGCTGATCCTTCCAGAAGTCCTTCACTTGAACATGATCAAAGGTTATAAAGCACCAAGTTCAGGGAAAAGCCAGTTACACAACATAGTGGACGGGAAGTATGTAAAACTCCGTAGAGGAAAAACAACCATCGAACAATATCAGGATGAAAATACTGCAGTAAATGCTCAGGGCTACAAATGCTGAGTGGATAGCAGTCGCACTGTATCCGCTCAGGTCAACTAGTGGAAGCATTAGCTGCGGAGAGGTGCTACAAATCAAAGATAAAAGATAAGCCCCTCCGGATCAGGGATCAGAGTCAGAGTGAAAATGGACCCCAAAAGCTGAGATCACGGGCCCCGAGGGCAGAGATCAAACCTAATCCTGCTACTCCATCTCAAACTCAAACAATATGGAACCCTGGGAGAAAGAGAGAGAGAGGGGGGGGGAGGGGGGGGGGAGGGGGGGGGGGGGGCTTCAGTGACTGGTGAATGATCGGTAGCTCCTGAAACAGCTGGACACTCTGGGACGTGAACAGAACAAATATTCTCAATGATAACTCCAGGAGGAATAGAAGAAGAAGAAAAAAGAAAGACTTACAGCAGTAGTTTAGGTTCAGCTGCTGGAGCAGAACAACAGTAGGTGGAAACAGCACTGTGTGTCTTTTCATTTTTCAATAGGATTACAAAGCCATAGTAAGACACAGCCTGCTGAAAATGTAAGTCCAGTACAGGATAAAATACCTTAACTGTTATTTGTAAGTTATTTGTAAGTTCCTATCATTTTAAAAGTCAGGTACAAAAGTATAATTATATCAGAATGGAACACTACAATGACGGTAATTTAAACTTCTGCAAAAAGATTGTTACCAGAGTTGAATAAAAGTTGCCCAAAAATATTAATTCCATTATCATTAAAAACAGTCAAAATATAAAATCAAATTGATCAAATTAGGCCAAAATATAATTTTGAATGAATGAGAAACCCTCTCTGCTGAACTTCCTCTCTCTCTCATCTCGATTCATTGTTTTTAAATCACTGCTAAATTTATTACCGACTGCTTTTATGTGATTAAATGGGTGACTGCCATAAACACACTGCTCTGAGTGTTTGCTGATGTGTCTGTGTTTATGAAAGAGGCCCATGAAAATGTTGACTTGTTCTGCCACGTATTTTAAAGTCTATGTATCGACATTAGAAAGCAGCTATTTAACCATTCAGATGTTGTATGTCGTCGACACAGACCCACACGTCAATCAAAACTGCGTTCACACATCAGCAGCAATGCCACTGCAGCCGTATTTCACGGCTGATCCTTAGAAGCAGCCTGATAATTTAATTTATTTAAAGTGTGAGGTTATAAAAGTGTACGTGGAGGAGGGCTGTCCAATAACAGGCTCCAGGCCTGGTTTTTAATATAATGACTGGTTTAACGGCCAGTTAGAAATGAATAGAGATCATGCATCCATTTATCCTTCCATCCATCCTTCCATCATCCATCCATCCATCATCCATGCTGTTATCCGTCCGGTGCCAGAATTTGCATTTGTACAATTATATAAAAAAAGTTACTAATTTAAGGCCTCTGTGTTGACCATCACCTACTGATGTTTTACTTTAATAGATGTCATTTTTATCATTGACCTTAGACTGTAGACGGAGGTTCTACCACAGTAGGATTAAGTGACATAAAGTATTCTAACAAGGCCAGTCACAACACTAGAAAAGTTCATTACTAATACAGCCACAAACACACTGATTTTAGTGTGTACTTCACATATAACAAACCATAATAGTTTTTTTTTTCGGAAAAAAAAATTATTTTTCCACACGTGTGCGTGTGGCTCAACTATAAGTGTTTGCACTCGTTATTAAATTTCTCCAGCATTTTAACAACTTCATCTACTTGTCTAGATATCACTATCTGACAGGTGAACTCCAGAGAAGTTCAAAATAAGGTTTTCAGGTGGTTGGAAATTGGCAGTGATTGGAGGAGGCAGATAATGACAGGGCTGCTGCTGCTGCTGCTGCTGCTGCTGCATTAGCTGTAAGGCTGTGAAAACAAGCCTCTAACCGCCATCAAATTTATGGTCCTTGTAGAAGGAATGTATTTACAATAATGACTTGCCGCTGGCTCAGTCAAGGACACAGGTAAATATATGTGCTGTACAAGAGTCCTGTGCCACAGTTAACTAACCAAAGTTGTCAGCTGTTCATCAACTTTGCAGTGATTGTTAAAGCTCTGTTGTGGTGTGACCTCGTGTCTCGCCCCCTCTCTACAGCGCCGCTGTGTTTATTACCGCATTTGCAATTCTAATTCACCAGCGAGTGCTGCCACATATAATGTAAAATAGGGATGTTGTTGTTTCACTCTGTAATTGCTCACACCCTGGCCCGTACAGTGAAAGGATGGAGCAGCCTTTGGCGGAGCGCGGATTATTGACTGCAGTAACGAACTTCAGGAAGGAGGCAGTGACGTGGGTTGAAGAACTGGTAGAACTTGTTTAATAAGCCCGTGTTTTTGTGTAAATAAATGGCCTTTAGAAAGATCATTTCAATCTTTCTACGTCATCCAATCGTATACAGGCCTTTTCATCACTTTTGTGTCCGTGTAATTCCATTTCCTGTATTCCTGTAAACCGACCGCATGTCCAGTAACAGCCACAGTGTTTTTCTCCTGTCTGTCCTGCTCCGTCCAAAGTGAGAATTTTTCCATGTGGTTACCTACAGCTCAACAAGTGCCAACCTTTCACTCTTTTATATTTCTACGGTGAAAAAGATACGTGCGTGCGGGTGCATGCAGGCATGTCTCGTAACAGTCCAAATACATCAGTCATGCTGCTGAAAGACCACTTTATCGGGACCGCGTTGCCAGAGACTTAAAGATTCATTGAGATCAGAGAATTATTTAGTCAAAAATGATGGATGTTCAGCCATTTGGAAAAACAGTAGCGCGGAGAGTCTCCTCCATCAACTCCCATTGTCATGCAACCCAGAGAGTATTGCATGAGACAAAGACAATTAAGACCCAAACCTTTGGGTCTAGTTTGACATCACTAAGTTATAAATGGCTCTGAATGAGACATCGTTCATTGGTCAAATTGAATAGAAATGACAGAGGATCTAATTTAAAAGTTCTCCCTCCTATTTTTGGAAACCTGATCTTCTATGCAGCGATTCAGTCGATGACTTTAGAGTTGACCTTCAAAATAAAAGTCCTTACCAACGTTAGTGAAAGGTGTTTTTCTTCGCACGTTTGGGTGGGATGAAGTGAGCATGTGCAGAAACACACAGGTCCATCCACAGAGGTGAAGAGCATCTGCCTCAGGCTCCCATTTCCTCCCTGTCTGTAACCATTAACATTACCTGGACCACACTCGTGGTGAACATTTACAGCCCAGGCAGAGTCCGGGCAGCAAAGTAGGCTGCAAATTACCCCACTATTAGCTAATCAGTGGATGGATGTGCACTGATGTGCCTGATATTCTGCACTCTCACCATCATAGTCTGCCCCGTGATAATCCATTAGCACCATCCAAATTAAGTTTCAACACCAGGTCAGGCTGTTATCAAGTGTTTTTCATTGGACTGTTTCATGTTCAAGGATTTGAGAGTTTTAACACCATCTGCACCCGTTCATATATTTGACATGAATATTTATAATGTGGATTATATAAACAATACTCTATATATATGTATATATCTAAATTTATACCGTCTGAAATGCATTTATCCAGCCTTCAGCTGTCCCATCTTTTTACAGACCACACTTGAAGAAAGTCTGATTTTCTCAAGCACAAAATTACTTTTCCCTTCTTTCATTTAGAAATAAAATTCAAAACAACAGCCATCAACTTTGCATGAATACCAAAACACCCACTGAAGACCCGGGGGCTGAGTTCAGAGTGAAGAAATGTAGATGAGGCGAGCTGAGGGCTGCGCCGTCATCCAGGTGACTTACTGTACACTACTCCTTTTTCCACATCTGCATATCGTAACTCACATCTTCAAAATAAGACCTTTTCAATTCCAAGAAAACGAGGGGGAAAGGATTAAAACACATTTTTCATCGTACGCTCTCGACTTTCCAGGAGGAACTTCTCGTTCAACCTCAGCCTGAAAAATGTAGCCAGAAGATAACGTTTGCTGTTTAGAGCCAAATGCCAATAAGGCTACAATACTCTGTTCTTAAATCTGTTTTTGTACAGATGATTTATCATTATAATTAATGGTTATTTGATCAACAACAACAAAACACAATCAATAGTGAATTCCTCAGACCATTTACTTTGTACCTAAACCAAAGACTCTTATTGAAAGAAGTTTTCCCCTAAAATATGTGTTCAAAGATGGAATAAATATTAAAAACCGCTGCAGATGAGAAACGTCTATTTTGACAAAACAGAAAATCCCACTCTGTACCTGGAGGCTGCGGGAAACCAATTGAAGGTCTATTATGTCATAGTTAAGCTGCTGACTGGAAGGAAAAGGAAGGAAATCTTAAGAACACACG